ATTATTGTAAATAATGTGAACAGAAAATCCAAATTCCAAAGTAAATATTATGTCAAGAAAAAGGGGCCTTGTTTGGTTTCTTTCTATTTAGTTGAGTTCAGAGTCCATGTTTGGCCAATTCAAAATAAAAGATGGTGAGAGAAAGAGAGATTATTCATAGATTTTTGTGAAGTGAGAGAAACAATCTGTCTCTCTCTCTCTCTCTTATCTATTTTGTAATATATGTTATAATTTTTTCTTTGTTTAGTTTAAGCATTAAGGGGAATTTTTATTTGCAGCTTATGAAGGAGAAAACATGTACAAATTGAAGCTGTAAATTCAGTCTCAATCACAATTGTTCTAATGTAAATTTTCTATTTATCTTCTACATTTTTGCTTCTCTCTTTTGTGATATGTTGATTTTATGATTTTTGGAACTCATTTCCTTAACAAAATAGAGCATATAATATATGATTAAAGAGTGTGGAATTGAATTTGTATTTATATTTATAGGGAATGATTGGAAAAATCAATCGTGGACTCTCAAGTTTGGTATTTTTTCTTAATGAAAAAAATATATATTTACGATCACTCATTGAATTACTTAAAATTTAATCTTTGACTTTTGGGATTATTCTTTTTTTGAATGGTTTGGTAATATTGGTCAATCAATGACGATCTTGTCAATTTCGTGCATATCTCTTCTCTAAAAATGGCAAACAAACATGGAAAATATGTTTATTTGCTCTCTTTCCTAATGAACAAGCTTTTTTTCCAGAAAACGAAAAGTGTAAAGAGGAGTTTCAAAAATAAAATCTAACCCTCTGTTGAACATCAAGAAATTTTAAAAAAAAAAAAATTTAATTTCGTGATTTGAAATTCAAAAAATGATTTAAAATTCTTTATATTGTTTGGAACGATAATGATTTTGAATAAATTAAATTGAATTTATTTGTTTAGAAATTCGACCGAAAGGAAAAATTTTTTTTACTATTTGAGTTTTTAATAAAATTTATTAATTAGAGATTAAGATATTACAAGAATAAATAGGTCATTTATTTTGAAATTCTATCGAATCCTGTAAAATTTGACCATTTTGATTAAATTTTTTTTTTTACATAAAAATAGAATTTGAAATAAGATTTCAAATCATTCAAAATCATAATGTAACCGAATTTATTTAAAATCCATTTTGAAATCCCTTAAAATCTGAATTATCCAATAGAGACATTGATTTTTGCAATTTTAGGTTAGATCTCTTATATATTTCTTTTATTTTATACTTTAATAAGTAGTTATTTTTTAATTCAATAAGTAATTTGTATATTTCTTTTATTTGGCAGTTCACTTTAGTTTAGCTCAATTAATAAAGACATGTATCGGAAATAAAAATGGTGTGTTCAAATCCCATCTCCACGTCCCTATAGTTGTCCTTAAAACAGCTATTTTTGCAACTAGTCCTAATTGCGAAATATGATTGGATCAAAATCAAAGGCTTATCGAAACAGCAATTAAAAATTGGATATCATAAGAAGAAATTTATTAATTAATTCCCACAAAAGAAAAAGGGTGTTGTAGGAAGAAAGAAAGTTACGTTTGTTCGGAGTTATCCTGATCATTTTTCTTGTGCATGTGGACGCTCCTCAAGCCACTTTTTTCGCTTTTTTTGCTTTTTCTTATTTTAAAAGGGACACAATTTGAAGTTTTTATTTTTATTTTTATTTTTTTTTCTTTTGTCTTTTATTTTAAAAAATTGGGGATAAAATTGGAGCCAACTTTATGGGCAAAATGGACAAACTACTGTACAACTATCGACGTAAATACAGGAAGGATTGGAAATTCAATTTAAAGTGGGAACCAATTTTAATTTCTTTAAATTTTTTTGGATAAACATAGCCAAATGAATACAACTCTGAAACTCCAAGAAAAGGAAAAGAGAAAAAAATTGATTTATAAATTAATGAGTATCTTTTTATTTATTTATAATAAAAGTATCTTTGTTCATTGAAAAAATATATACCATGTAATCTTACCTTTTTAGATGTGAAGTAAATATAGATCTAAATACTTTTGTTCATGACTTTATATCCTATTTTCATTCCGAAAATTTAAGATTAACCTATTATAGTCACTAAATTTCTAAAATATCTATTTTGGTTTGTAAAATTCTAAGTTTATTCTATTTTGAATTTATTTTAACATATCTATTTAATCCTTAAAACTGTAAAAATGAATAACAAAGCTTTTTTCCTTTTACTATTCCATTAGGTGTTTATAAGGCTTTCAAAGTGGAGTTTTGTGACCTTTTTCTAGTCATAGAATCTGAAAATTATTGCTTGATTTATGAGGGTTACATCTTGAAACATATGTAAATATCTATTTAAATTTTATTCACTTTTTCATTATTTAAATTTTGCATCCTGAAATCTCAAAATTGTTATAATGACATAATTTCAATTCAATGGTGGGGAAGAAACTGCTTTTATTTCAGTCCTAGTGTGTTAAGTGAATGATAGTTGAGTCTCGAAAAGAAAAAAAATGTGACTCTTATATTGAAAAAATATATATTTTGAAAAATGATTCTTTTTTTTAATACAACATGTGGGGGTGAGGAATTGAACTCACAACCTCTTGATTGAAGGTTGATATAAATTACCGTTGAGCTATATTCGCCTTGGCTTGAAACTAGTTTCACAATCAATAAATGAGATTTTATATAAAAATTTACCTTTTAAGCATTCGATCACGCACCAATTCTACAATCATTAAGATCTTACACACTTTGTATACAGAGATACATCATTATGCATTTAGGTAATGTTGATCACTTATTTTATCACTTATTTCATATTTTAAAAATAAAAAGACATAATTATGCTAATAATTATTTCATTTAAAAAAAAAACAGACATAATTATTAGGTAGAATTAAAACTATATATCTTCTTTCAAGTTGGCAATAATTCTGTAATATTATTAAATGTGTTTCAATTACATATCTATATTATATGTGGCAAAGTTTCCATTGGACCTAATTTTACTAATCTACTTAAAAGTAAATTTAATAAAATGTAAGTTAAAAGTACAAAATTTGATCTTTTAACTAGTTGTATTTATTTAGTTTTTTAATTAAAAAATCTTTAATCATATCTTTAAACTTTTGATTTTGTTTCAAATATATTTTTACCTTTAATACTAATACTTATTTGTTGATTGAACCAGCTAGTGATTATACGTAAAATATCAAGATGAAGAAATGGTGACTTTAAACCCTAAACTCTAAGGTTTACGTTCGAAATTAGGTTGACGAATTCTTTCCCCTGTATTTCGAGTTGAAGATAGTGAGATATGTTAGAGAAAGAAAATAAAATGTTTTCTTTTTTTCGGAGGAAGAGATAAAAAGAGTACCTTCGGAGTGAAAGAAAGATTTTTTTTTGCAGAGAGATGTGTTCGAGAGATAATAAATATTTGTTTCTATAGGAGGAGAGAATTTTTTTTGGGTTTATAATGTTTAAAATTAAAATCTTATGAGTGGAATTGTAAAGTAATTTCACGGTAGTTTGTACCATTTGTCTTTTTCTTTTGGGTTTTTATTTGCTCAACCTTCTTAATTTATTAATCAAATAGATTGCTATTAATTTAATTGAATGGAAAGTTAACTCCAACAAAAAAAATATTGTGAGTTCAAATCCTCGTCTTTAAGTATTGTACTAAAAAAAATAATTAAAAGTTGTTGGTAGTTAATCCTAACAATACTCTAATCATCAATATGTATGACAAGAAATCTTTTTTTTTAATATAAAGATGAATATTTAGTTCAATTATATTATAGTAGTTATTTAATATAATGAACATTTGATTCAATATTTAGTTTTGAAAGTAAAATAATTTATATATTTGCAAAAAAGGAAAAAGGAAAAAGAAAAAGAAATTGAAGCCCGAAGGCGTGGCAAAAGGCGAAGTCCATGGGCCGCGATGGGCCCAATAGTTTAAATGATTGGGCCCCTTCTCTCTATCTCTTCCATTCCCATATCAGCAAAAATGGCGGTGCCGTAGTGGCAAATCTGAAAATTTGACGTAATTCGACCACTCTACAGATAAGCAAGTCATAAAGTTCCGGCCGAAGTCAGACGCGGAATAATTGTCATTAAAAAGTAAATAAAAAAATTAATAAAGCACTCAACGGCGTCCTTTCAAACCGATTTGAAATTCGATTCCCAATACAACACAACCAAACAAATGCTAATCCATGATAACAACGGTGAGCTCTGCCGTAGGGTAGCAAAACCGTAATTTAAAGCCCCGCCATCTCCTTTTACACCCCCAAAGGCCTCCAATTACGGGCACGCGTTCTCCTCCGCGTTCGGAACACGCTCGCGTTCAGAGAGCGAGAGACGCGCGTGTAATCACGCGCTCTACATCCGCGTGGGAGATCGCTCAACTTTCACAGCTTTTTTTCACCTCCCAGGCTCCCACTAAGATACAAAGATTGTCCACACTTTTCTCACTCGCATCTGGCTCTGGCTCAGTAGCTGCTCTCTGGAGATGGAAGGAAAAGGGTCGACTCTGGTTCATCTTCTAGTGGTGGTTCTCTGTTTAGTGGCTTTTGGGTTTTCCATTGCCGCCGAGAGACGAAGGAGTGTGGTATGTATCAAAATGAAATCACCCCTTTTCTTTGGCTTCACTGTTTCAATTATTATTGCCCCTTTTAACAACATTTCCGCAATTGATTTGGGAGTTTCAACCTAAATGTATGTGTCAAATCTGGCTTTGGGATGCTTCTTCTTCCATGTTACTGCATATTGATTCATCATTCGTCGTGTAATACTTTGTTTTCCATCCCCAAACAAACAGACACACTTTAGTGAAAGTGCTTTTTGAAGTATTTAACACCCCAGTTCTTTAACATGCTTCATTGATTCCTCTTACATGGAATCTATGTTTAATTTGACATGTTAACTTTTGGATTCAACTCTACTCTATGTGCAGATCGCAATTGTAGTCTTTGCTGGTGTTTTTGGATCTTGTGTTGCAAATTTACTTGTGTTATTACTTTTATCATGCCAGCACAGATTCACCACATTCTTGTTCTCCCCTATGGTGAAGCAATTCACTTGAAGGGGGCAGCATTAGCATATTCTATGCATGTAACAATGAGGGGTATGTGTACTTCTACAGGGAACTATGTTTGAAGATAAGCTAAAGAATGAGACGTACTGCGTCTACGATTCGGATGTTGCGACGGGTTATGGAGTAGGGGCTTTCTTATTTCTTCTTTCAGGTGAATCTTTGCTGATGGGTGTCACCAAGTGCATGTGTTTTGGAAGACCCTTAACCCCGGGAGGCAATAGGGCATGGGCTATCATATACTTTTTTTCCTCATGGTAACAAAGAATTCCAATTCCATTATGCTTTAACTCTGAAACTTAACCTCTAAACAAGTTTAATACCAGTTCATTTATAGTGTATCAGTGCTTATTAGTGCACAAGTTTCCATTCAGCTCTCGTTACTTTTTTATTTCTGGATTTGCTTTTTGTATGCTACTGAGGTTTGGCTCTGCCTTGGGTTAACTTTTTCCTGTTTAGCTTCATTTTGGTCGGAAGAAAGCTATTCACTATTTCTTCTAGTCTTGAGTCTTGATTCTACAATTTTGTTTGGGGTACTACTACAAATGTGCTATTTTCTCTTTTCTCCGCTACTTGAAATTCTTGGATTCGATAATTGGTGTATTTAAACCAGTGTTTTCGAGGCGCAAGGCGCACCGCAAGGCGACGAGTCCTTTGATCGCCTTGAGGCCAAAGGCGATACAAAGGCGACGCCCGATTGAAGCGAGGCGCACCTTGATAAATAAGTAAAAATTATATATATAGTGCATAAATTACCTTAAAAAAATCAATACCAAAATAGTAAATGTCAACAAGATGCATAAAACAACCAAATTCTATAAGTTTAGTTCCAAATAAAGACAAGCAACATTAAGAAATTGTAGAGTCTGAAATAGAACAAAAAGTAAATATAAGTAATCAAAGCTCATCGAGAGACGGGGCCGGTGAAGACGACGGTGGTGAAGGGCAGGTTGAAGATTAACGTGGAGAGGGAGGCAGATGGGTTTTGTTGTCGAGAGGAAGGGAAGGGTTTTTAAAAACTAAAACCCTTTTAAAATTAAAAAAAAAATAATAATAAGATGATCGCCTCCTTGAAGGAGGCGATTGCCTTGCCTTAGGCGACAGGCGCGCCAAGGCGCCCAAAGGCGAGCGCCTGATTGAAGGCGCTCGCCTGGGCACCTTGCGAGGCGCACCTGGGCGAAAACGCCTCGCCCCTCGCCTGAGGCGAGCACCCGGATGCGCCTCGAAAACACTGATTTAAACTCCATGGTAGTGTTTGGCTCATAGATTAAGTTTGTGGAACTCAAAGTTGAGAAACTGAGTTTATGTTAATAGACAGGATGACTTTTCCCAAGTTACACGTTTGTTAATTCCATAAGTTATATAGATCTAGCTCTTATGAAACACTTTTGTTACTTTTATTAACTCAATTTTTTTGCACAATTCGAATACAAATTTTAACCTCGGACTTTGTAAAACTATGAACCAATCAACCATCATGAGTTGGCCTAAAGATATTGGGGCATGAAAAATTTGTTTTTGCTTAAAGATACAAATCTTTTGAGACAACTCTATATCATCTATACTTGGAAATGGCAAATCTAGAGAAAGACAACTTCTAACTTCAAACTTGTAACAGATTAAATACTTGTTGCATATTTTATGAATCTTCAGGGCGACGTTTTTAGTAGCGGAAGCATGTCTAATTGCTGGTGCGACGAAAAATGCATACCACACCAAGTATCGAGGGATGATCTACGCTCAAAACCTACCGTGCGAGACATTGAGGAAAGGAGTGTTCATTGCTGGGGCGGTGTTCGTGGTTGCAACCATGATTCTTAATGTGTATTACTACATGTACTTCACCAAGGCGACATCGACGCAAGGGTCTCACAAAGCAAATCGCTCGAGCTCAACGGTCGGGATGGCCGGGTATGCCTAGATTCAATTGAATTCAAATGTGACAGGCTACTCAAAGCTTCCATCTTGGCCATCATTGGTGGGTAAGTGAGATGTGTTAATGATATTAGAGCTGCATAATCACTTGTGGTTAGGATATATATAAACAGGTCACAGGTCAGGTCACGTGTAAGAAAAAGAAATGATTTTCTAAAATTTTGAAGCAATTTCAAGTGGTTTGGAATGTTGAGTTCTGTCTCTCTCTGTGTAGTTGAAACTGAAAATGTGAAGGTTATATTATATTTGGCGCTATGGAAGAAGCATGCTTCAGAATGCCTACTTTCTTAATTGATATTTTCTGTTTCATCTGGATGGCATTATTATTATCCATTTGTTGATGTTTTTTTTTAGTTAAGGTAGAATAGTTTTATGTTGTTTTTAAGATTAGAGATTTGAATTCCCAATTCTTATAATTTTGTCGGCCTTTCATATTTTAATAAGACTTTAATTAGTTGCTATCGCAAGACCTGTACGGAAAAACCGGTGAATAACCATAGCCGAACACCAAAAAAGAGAGAAACCACCCTTTCCTGTCGAAGCCGCACGGGGGGCGGGATGCTCATCATTGCCTCTGGTCGGGCCATTGGGATTTCCGATCAAACGATGTTCGGCCAACATCTCATCCATCGTAATAAGCGTAGAGGACTCGTTGAGCCCAAGGGATAGCGAGAATTTTCTTCAAAATGTTGTCCGTCTGAGAGGCGATGGGAGGGGCCCCACCAGGGAATATTACCAAGGAGAACCAAAAGCTTAAAAGGCCATACCGGCTGAAGGAAAAATAAAAATTGTTAAGAACATACCATGCTCCCTGAAGTAATTGAACACACGTCTGACCACCAGGCTGTCACTAACTAATCACTACCCTATGATAAGGAACCAGTGATCCTTCCAGTTCCTATTCAAGGTTGAAGCGTTGAAAAGCGTTCCTCGGTGAGAATTAAAGCTATAGAACCCGGTGAAGCCTCTGATTAGACTTCTTTAGACAGTAGCGGGAGAGTCATCTCCTCACCTCCTCCCAATTTCGGCCAAAGGATGGCCAATGCCATCAAAGCTCCCCATGCGTTGGGAGCCAATTGTGCCAGAGCCATGCCGGCGAAAACCAAGAACGCCTGGACGAAAAGGGAGAGGGGAAGCTTGACCCGATTTCAGAACATCTGCATGTAGAAACTTACCCAGCAAGGTTGAGGGGTATCTATCCTTTCGTCCATAGATGGGAGGCGCATGAGGACATAGCGAGGATGTGGTAAGTGGTGCAAAGCACCGAAAGGTCTTGTTCAGTGGCCAATGACAAAATGTGGTTGACGAACGGGCGGCGAGCCATGGAAGTAGTCAACCCATAAAGTAAGCAAAGGAGTAAAGGTGCAAAGAAAGAGTAATCATTATCCTGCCTGCAGGCTGATTTAAAACGATCACTGAGCGCCGCTTTGGATCCCAACAGCATAGGAAATTGCGATTGCCAACTTCGTCGCTTCGAACCACGCGAGGGATGTGATCGCCCGTGAAACGACTATGGGCACGTGTCCCCATCAAACGTCCATACGTGCTGACGACTGATCGACGCAGTCACAATAACTCGTGGACCCCGCCAATCGATCCGTAGAGATTCGAGCGGAACGCCCATGCACCCTATTCGACTACAAACGCTTTTGGGCCTAGCCCACTAATCAACGAAGTGACCTGGCCCTAAAAGAAGGCTAACTGTCATGGGTAGCGTTCGAACAGGACACATGTCTGCCCCTCCACAAGCATGGCCCCATTGAGAACCACCTTTTTAGAGAGGATGTTGCCGAGCAGGAAACGCATCCGCTAGGGAGGGGAAGAAGGATTGTAAACGGTTACGCCTCGTACACAGCCACAGCTGGCAACGCACGCTGTCGGTACGATAGGCGCATTCCACAGCCCTGGGAAATATACCCAAAAGGCACAGGTGGCAGAGCCATTCTAGTGCTGTCAGAACCACATTCCCTTCTGTCCGACCGTACAGTGTGCGATGTCTCTGCCACCTCCAACCATCGTCCTTCCTGGTTGGCCCACCGAGGCTATAAAAGGAAGGACCACCATCCCCACCAAGTGAAAAACTTGTCACTAACACTTAGGTGTCTTTTTCTTACTGATATTCTGATTACTGACTTAATCGTCGGAGTGTATGGTTTCAGGTTTAGTGGATCCCAGGCTGCTCGTCTAGGTACCACGTGACCCTCTACCAAAAATCGTCGTCAACATAACCATTCATTCCCCAACTTTTGTCCCATGAATTTTTCACAATCCAATAATCAACTCCATTTTATGATTGACCAAAATTGTGATAGGTGATAGGTGATGACTATGATATAGAGAAACCTATTAGAAAGCTGTGATAAATGATGACCATGTTATATTATTATAGGTAATGACCATGTGACATATAGCCATCGTAGAACCATGTTAATATCCAATATTCAATCAACTCGAACTCAAATGTTGCTCTGACTAATGGCTCCATTGACCATGATAAACAACTTCTTCAACCACTACTTGCCTCACTTGCTTGTACCTTAGGTCGGACCCTAATCATAAATGGTCATGAAAGTGAGAATAGCTAGCTTTCAATCATTATATTAAATGGTCTTTGAAGTTGTTGAATATATTAATATAAAAATCTTCGAAAGAAAAAGAAGAAATAAATTCTCATTTCAGATCAAATACACAAGAACTAATAATACATGAACTAATAAAGTTTGAGATAGTAATCCCACACATTTAGATCCTAACAAGTTTATAATATTTCAGCATGGAGCATGAGAACAGAGAGAGAATAAAGACGAGAAAAATACTTCTAACATATCGTCACTTGAACATGTTTGTTTGATGCATTCATGGAAGGTGTTCTTTTGTTTGAAGTTACGTTGCTATGGCTTACCTTATTATCAAAGTAGTAAACGGATGAGTGCTCGTTATGGTTGATATCTATGAGATTGAGACAGATTGCAATTGTCCAACAAATACAAGAAAAGGCAAATTATCAATCTTAAAGGGCATTACTAAAATCACTATACACCTAGCTACAACGCTTACACCCCAGTAAAGAAGACAATTGACGAGAGATAGAGTTATATAAAGTTTTATTTTCTTTTTCTTTACTGACATGACTCTTTTATCTTTTATTTTCGTTAGGTGTTTGGCAAATTTCTTTGTTGATATATGACTGCAACCTTTGCTTTGGGTTAAAACAGTGGAGCAATGAAATCAATACTTAGAAAATTTACCCTTTTTGCATAATGTTTGTGGACAAGACTAAAGAAACAATAGTGGAGAAGGTTGTTAAAATGTTTAGAGAAAGAGAGAAAAAAAACCTTTTCAATCTACTATTTGAATTTGGTCTTTTCTTATGCATTAAATCATGAGCTCATTTGACCCTATGAAGCTACCTATGAAAAAGACTCCCATTTTTAGATCGTTCGGTCTATATTAACATTTTCTAGAGATATTAAATCATAGAACTTGTCTTGGTTTCCACCCAATAAAAACTTAGATTACACTTTCTTTTTACGGGGATTATACTCGTGTCTACAATATAATCAATATTTGTGATTTATATTTAGTGCAAGTTGATCATTTCACAGGCGATTCGTACATTGTTGGGTACGAATTCTGGCCTGTCACGTGTCATATTCAAAGAGGTGAGTTGAATTAACGTGCAAGCGAAATATACGAATAGACCCCAAAATACTTAGGTCGGCAGTCAGGGTAGAACCTGCAAGGCCGAGCCGACCTTAAGCGAAGTCCGTAATGTTGTCTTTTCCGAACTCGACAATACGCCGCATTTTTAGGGTGTGTTAGAGTTCCTGTCGGGCCTAGTTTCTATAAATAGAAACCCTTGCCTTAAATGCAAGGTATGCAATCCTAGATAAAATCGGTAAGTTAGTTCGGACTAGAACTAACTTGTTCGTTGGAGTGCTAACTTTGTTTTGCAGGTCTCATGAATGCTTTGGGAAGGTGTTGGACAGCGGCCAATAGCTCATCCTGTACGTTCCGATCTACTACTTGTCGTCTGAGCTCAGGATTTTGGGCTCAAACATAGATCAATAATTCTTTTACGCCTATTGTTATTTATTGTTCCTTAAATCCCATTAATTTTTCAATAGACAAATACGTACAACCCAACTGTAAACTAATCCCTTGGTGAGATCTCATTGTCCAAGTCCTCGACAAATTGTACATTCTTTTAGATTAATATTTTGGACTGAATCATCTTCTAAAACAATAAGTTTGTCATTACATACAATGTAATTTGCACTATAAAGCAAACTAATTATTGTGTTCATAAGTTAAATGTTTACCACAACATTACTTGGTCTAAAATCCCAAATTAGAATTTGATGGGAATACCTACTAAAAAATGGGATGTTCTCCTGATTAAAAAGGTCGAGTTTCTTAGTGAGGTTAATTTGGAAACTATTTTTAAATGATTTTTATTATGGGGCACTTGCAAATATGGCAAAAAGTTTTAGTAAAATAAGCGAAATAGCAACCACATTTAGTTTTTTCAAATATAGCAATTTTTTTCAGATAAAACGGAGGTCCAATTGTAAAATTACAAATTCACACTTTATTATATCTGATATATATCTGTAATATATCTGACTACTGATATATATCTCTGATATACCACTGATATAATAATGATATACAATTGATTTACTTATGATATAATCATGATATCTACTCAACTTCTAGCATGTCTTACCACTGATATACGTATGATAACTATTGATTTACCATGCTAATACAATACATATATATGTGATATATATTTGATATGTCTCTAATTTACCGTTGATATACAAATGATATACCATTGATATAACTATGTTATCTACTGATATAACTATGTTATCTACTGATATAACTTATTATATGATTATATGATTTACCACTAATATAACATTGATATATACTTAATATGCTTCTAATTTACCACTTATACACCTCCGATATAACCACTATATCTACTAATATAACTATTATATATGTGTGTTGATAKCTTTTTTTTTTKATATCATATGTGTGTTGRTATCATACTATTATATCAAATATCTTTTTCAGATGAAAACAATGGTGCAAAATTTTTTATTTTTATTTTGAAATATAAAGTTATTATATAAAAGGTTTATGTGGAYCATGCACGTCCAAAAAGACAAGATAACATTTGATGTACTTTATAAATTTAAATAGTTGATATTCCTTATATTTAGTATCTAATTAATATTAATATTGRATAAATAGRAGTGATATAGTAATCAACATTATTGATA